AAGTCAAAGACAGTGAAAAAACAAACAAACAAAAAACACACAGGCATATAAATACTAACTTTCTAGGATCTTTATTGACTCCAAGTAATCCAGAGTAGAACGAGATGAATCAACGCTATACTCCGCCATCTTTATTTTAATATTAGATGCAACCATTATTCTGTAGGGGACAACGGGTCATAACTTGAGGGGAGTTAACACCCATGATTTTTAAAATGCCTTGATCAATAAGAGTCTAAGTTACAGGGAACATTATTTTCATTTTTCAGTGGACCAATAAATGCATTTGACAGGAAAATAGAAAAACTCTACCACAACAGCAATTAGAACAGCTTGCTGCATTATAAGTATCACTTCCCTGTCAAATTAGTGGTTCATGCTTATTTGAATCTGAACATAACAGGCCAATTCTATCACACCTTGCTAGGCTTGAACTTCCATCCAATCAGAGCATTCCAAATGAACATGATTCTCCACAAAACTAGAGGGCGCTCTGACCAAAAAATTGCCATGATCTAAATAAAAAGAACTGATATATATATATATATAATAAAGATAAATAATATTTGTCTTCAACTAAACCCAAGTTACATAATTTGCACACTTTCCGGTTTATTTCATGGGATATTAAATTTACTATCGTTCTCCACGCGAAGTTCATGGATCGCCACTTAAAATCTATGTTATTATAGCAGGGGGCCGTTGATGGACGGAAGTTGATACTTCGGTGCAGTGTCAACTTTGATGGCAGTGAAGCTAAAAGTTAAAAATATCGTAGGCACGAACTGTCTGTCGTGGTAGACCATCGTGGTTGTTTACGCGTCATACTTGCCCGGAAAATTTGTCACAAAGGAAGATTTGTCATGTGACATTTGCCCAGCCAAAAGTCTGATTCACTTGGTGGAGTGGTTCAGTCACAGACATTAACGGGTATTTACTGTAGGGCCCATGCATACGACAGATTGTACGTACTGTTTGCTTCTTTAAAGGATTATGCGACGGTTATTTTGTTTTTAGACATCAACTTTTGAAAAAAAATATTTTCACATAAATGAACATCTATTTTTTTGTTATTTAATGCACCATTGGGACAAATTCACAGTTTCAACTCATGGAATAAACATTTCCGCATAACAATTTTGTTTCTCTGTTACTAGTATATGTAATTCAACAACAACAACGACGGTTGCTTATGAATATTCAATCAGTAATAAGATTATACAGGACATTCATTACGTGACAGCCATTCAGTCCGTTGTATGGAACAAAAGCGAATGAGTCATAAAACTTGCCCGTTAATATTTATTATTCGCTAACTGTGAGCATTGATTGTTCTGTCCATACACACAAGACAAAATGAATGGAGAGTATATTACGTACAAACATGAACCTTAGATAACAGGGTCCTGTCTGAGACAAAAAATAATCTCCAGTACAGTTAAAGGAAAAGTCAAATCTAACAACATAATATTCCCAGATGGAAGACCTCGACAAAATGTAAGAACATGCAATTTACAGCTTTTTCATATCACTTTTCATTCTTTAAAGGGGAAACGCTCAATCCCATGGATTGCACCAAAGAATCATGGGACACTATTGTTTATGTTGTTTACAATGTTAATCTATCTTTTGTTATCCATTGTTATTTTAATCCAGAAAGTAAATTTGTTGTGAAATTAATCTTAACTGGAAGGTGCCCCTTTAAATATTTAACTTTTCATTAATTTATGCAGTCCACCATCTTGATTCTTCGGCAAAGGATTATGGGTAAAGTGTGACATCATATCCACTGTTCATTCTCTACCATCGGTCCCGGGGACGATACATCCCGGAGGATGGCGCGTGACCCTTGTTACGCAGGATGATCCACTGTTGTCGAAAACTGAGAAAATGATTCCATTTATAACTTCGAAAGTTGATCTTCAAATTGGTTGAAAGTTTAGAACATGGTAGCATACATGTTCCGGTGCCAAACGTGCATATAAAAATAGTTCTCATGTGTTTTTCTACCAAATGCTCAAAAACCCTCATATTGTGTACAATTTATCAATTTGAGTAGGGTATATAGGGGTCAAAAAAGTGTCATTCTACTTTTAGCGTTTTACGTTTTTGGAAATATCTCCACTGTATGTGTATTTGTAACATTCTAATTTCCATTACTATAATTATATACATGGGTAATATGCACCCTGAAAAATTTAAAAAAATTGCATCAGTATTTTTCACGTTATAGAATAATACATTTTCTCAATTGCTAACAACAGAGACTATGATGTCACGCTTTACTCACAATCCTTTGCTGGCGAATCGAGATGGCGGACTACACAAAACTAATGAAAAGTTGAATATCTAGGGAATGAAAAGTGATATAAAAAAATGGTAAATAACGTCTGAAAACAGTTTTCGTTGCTACCTTTTAGCGCGTTTTTATGCCTTTCATAAGTGTTGCTGTGTCACAGTGTGGCGGGTGGACTGGGGTGTATTGTTTCTGAATATGATTAAAACTATTAAAACAATGTTGTTTCCTTGTAGATAACTTTCTCTTTTTGTGCCTATCCTATTTTTAATTAGTGTCACTCGTAAAAACAATTCACTTTTAATAAAAAAATAATTATTCTGAATATATTCAGACGTCAAAGGTTGGTTTATTTTGTGTAGCTACACCCCCGGATACATGTCCCTCTTCTATAACATGACATGATGGCGTGAATATGGATAGGGAATTATAACACGGGTTACGTGAAAAAAATACAGTTGCGTGTTTCTGTTTTCTTATTGCTATGGCACAACCAGCTTCCGATTAGCAACGTAATATGTCAACACTTTCAACATGTCTATTAAGGCAGTTCGCTAACGTGCCGTTAAAACATAAAAAATGTTCACAGTGTGTAATTGTTACGTAATGATTAACATACATGCAAATCATTCATGCAGAAAAAGGCCGTGTTTTTTAAAAAAAAAACATGCAAAATAATCTAAAAAGCGGTCATTTTCTAACAGTTTCCATATGATTCCGTGTAAACTAACTTATACTATAATTCAAAATTCTCAAATTTTTCGTGAAAGTTATATTAGCTCTCATAACACTACATAACATTTTTTAGCATAGGTTACCACTCAAAATGTTGAGATATGGTGAAAGGTTTCTGTCATAGAAACCAATTTTAAACTACTCAGGGCTCGCGACACGTATTTTTGTTATTTTCCAAGGTCGTTTGTGGAAAAATTAATTCGACAGCCATATACTTGTAGTTCATAATTTTTTAAATTACAGTAAGGCCTAACCCAGTGCTGGATTTCGAGTTGTTTTGAGTATGTTGTTTTTAATGGTATGGCGAGCTGCCTTAATAATATGTGATGGTTCGATTTCCCAAATAGCAACAGTTGTTAGACAACTCATGTACTGTATTGTACTATACGGTCTGTGGTAGCACAATACATTGTATTACAGTGATGAGGTGGTGTCGACTCTGTGATTCAGAGGCATTATTATTATTTGAGGGGGAATAATTGTATCTCTAATCTAATCTTTTACTATTCAGAGATTGTAGGGTTTGACCATAGACCTCAAGTACTTGTACTAGTCCACCACGGTTACTTTTTTAGTAACCGTGAGCTCTCGCACATTTTTTTTTTTACAGTGCGGTAAACATGCCCGCAAGCGTGGCTGTCAAAGCGATGGGTAATGTGGACACTGACGGACACTCACTCAAATATTATATAGCACAACCTAAATGTAGTTATAATGACAATGGGTAAACTTGATGTATAGATCGTGCGTTTTTGTTATAACAACATTGTCCCACTTATCGCATTGAACTTTCATTGTTATACCGGCCAATCAAAAAGGGTGTTGACATCGGTTGTCATGCAATATACACAAAAGATCCCTTCGTATTTAAATTTCATGTTGCCATAGTCACTCTCTCACTTCGAGGCTTACTCAATTCGCACGAACGACTGCTACACACCTTTTCTGTTCGTTACCAGCAGCGGCCTGTTTCCATTGTCACTCCATTTTCTCCCCTCAATATTTGAAGTTTCAACTCTCAAAAAATGGGTGAATGGTCTAACGGTCTTTTCAGTTGCTTCGGCAATATTGGTCTATGTGCCATCACGTATTTTGTGCCGTGCTATACCGCTGGTAAAAATGCAGAAGCTGTTGGCGAGAGTTGTATCAAATATGCCATTCTATCAATGTGCGGACCGTGTGGTATTTACTTCTCGGCAGTAATCCGTGGAAAGATCAGGGAACAGAAAGGAATTGATGTAAGTATATCAACATGTTCTGATTACGGGCACGCGGTAAAGTCAAATTTGTGCTAGTTGCCAACATGAATCGTTAATCACGGACAACGCCTTGAAGTTGTTGGTTCAAGCTTTTTCACTTTCCCAAGGACATGCATGGATTGATGTACTGACAACTTCAAATTCGCTGCACCGTTTTATTCATTCCTTATAAACAGTCATCTTTGATAGCTTCGTTCAGAATGCATATCTAGCAAAACGCACTAGAGGCGTTAATTAATTTATTGGCATGGTTCATTGAATATACTTGGTCACGTGACTGTCAGTTAGCCTACGCAGGCTATGAAACAGATACATGTAGAAAGCCATCTTTGTTAATTATTAAGTGATATATTCTCGGGAATTAGTTTATCGCGGCCATATTAATATTAATTAAGGACATGTCGGAACAGCAATTTTATCCAAACAATAATAAGCCGACGGGCGGTGGCGGCAGCGGCAGGGCTTCCCGCCCTTTTTCCTGTTTTTGCATGTTGGGGGTCAATGCCAACAATACTCGTTACTAAGTTGTCCTAGCTACGTTTCCCGTGATCATCGCAAGTTTTATTTTCCGAACGAATCTCCTTTAGCTGACTGATGTTCGCGTGTTCGCGGGCTAAACTATTATTTTTCCCAGTTTCGGAACCCCTCGGTTTACCGATTTGGCGATTTTTGCAGGATACACTAAATTGACCTACCTATATACCAATAGAAGGATCCTATTCACTCTAAACACCGAATGAACATAATTCGTTGAACTCGCCCCGAAATCAGATGACTTGGTGGTATTGGAATGTTTGACTTCCATACTTGCCGAGCAATGCAGCAGGTGGTGGTTGGGTGTATTGTGCAGATTGGCAGCAAATAAATCTGTTGGCCTGTCAGACTGTAGCCTACTTCACAGACCTCCTTCCATTAACATAAATCAATCTGTACGAACACTACGTAAATTTATTATCAAAGAAAAATAAAATAAATGCATTCATATTTAACACTCTCAAGATTGTGTCCATTTCAATGCGATGTAACTGGCAGGTATACGTTGATGAAGGTGGACGATATGTTGATGTTCTATCACCGAAGGCTACACGCGTGGTTCCATAAATACTATATTGTAATATTTACATTTGTTTTTGCAGGGTTCGTTCGGAAACGATTGTCTCATGCATTGGTTCTGTGCGCTATGTGCCTTTGTGCAAGAAGCCAGGGTAAGTTGGAATGTTAGAATATATACTCAGTGGCGGATCCAGCAAAATGTATTGTGGGGGGGGGGGGTCCAAGCTTCGCTTAAGATATACGATAAGATATATACTGGAACTGCACAATAGCCCATCGCGTCCTTTTTACCACACTACAGATAGTATTGAATAACCCATAAAAGTTTTACAGTTCCTCATAAGGGAGAGACCTTGAGAAACCCTTTGTCCTGAATCTTTTGACAGGTTATATTTCGTCGGATGTGCTAAAGGTGACACTAAGTGAATTGTGATACGTGTAGTTTTACGCGGTTCGAATTGCAATTGCTAACATTGCAGACATTATAGTCAAATTATAGTTCAGTGTCTTTTAACAGTAAGATATGCATTTGATTTCGATAGATTGATACAAAAATATGTATTTAATTTCGACAAATTGATACAGAAATCTGTTATATTACAGACTAAAGAAATTGTACGAATTGTGGTATTTTGGCGATTCAACATTTATAACACACAAACGACGACCTAGCACATTTTATTAATTTGACACATTTTAACCAATTTGACAATTAAAATGATACTAATTCACATTTTATTTTTCCAGGAAGTGCAAGAGGGATCTCCTGGTGGCCAGGCAATGGGCCGAGAATAGATCACCTCCCCGTTTAATCGAAGCCGAAGCGAAACGTCTATTACAACACAACGCCACCATCATCATCATCAGGATAACATCGGCCATTTTTGTGTATATTTTGCAATACCAACCCCCTACGGAAAAGCTTCATTTGGAAGAAGTCATTTTAAAAATAAAATATATGCGTTAGTTTTTTTTTCTTAACTGAAAAAGATATTTGTACAGTATGTAAAATATTTGATACTTAATCGTCAATATTAACGAATCGTAAGTCAATCTTCAGTAATTGAGTTTAGTATGTACTTGCTTTGTGGTTCTTCACTTTATCTGTTTTTTTTATAAGATCACACTCGAACTATTTTTCTTATTTTCATATTTCTGTTAATATCGATCAATATATTAGAAATAAATTGTTGATGTTCTTTTTCTGTTAAGTAATTTGTATGCATGCGCGTGTGACTGGAAAAATAATATAGTGCGTGCGTGCCTGCCTGTGTTCGTACCGATTATAACCTAATATTTTCATATCGTTAGCATGATGGCAACGAAAATATTGAGCCTATATCCAGTAGTTGCCATTCATAATGTACAATTGCAAGGTGGGTGATTATTCAGTACATGTGGTGTTAGTTTATTATTGTGCCCACTTCGATCAATGGTATATCAAATGTGTGCCCATTGAACGTGATTTAGTTTCTGTTAGGCGAGGTAACCAAAACACTGCGTGACCTTCCTAAGGTTGAATGTGAACCATACGAGAACGAGTCTCATTTCAAATGACGGGAAAGGAAAACTTGTTGTATTGACTATTTAACGGCAGTCTTTTATCCATTTATTGTCTGTGTGTATATAACAACATTGTGTCGCTAGGCAACTCGTTGGGCTGTCACAATAGAACATCCCATCTGTCGTAACAAGTTTACAGGTATGTGATTGCCAGGGTGACCACGTTTTACAATCCAAAATTAGTATTCAGTCCAGCCTCGGGGTCGGAACATCACGTTACGAAGTTTCTAAACAGCACGTTCAAATTGGTAGAATTGTACAAATATTTGCATGACCATGTCTTAGTGTATGTCTGCATTTGGGGGGAAACATTTTGATTGCATTATTATACTAAATTGGGTACAAGTTTTACGATCGTCTGGTTACACTTGGAGGTTTTATTTACATTGTCAATTGTAAGAACATGTAAAACAATCTGGTATGTACATGGCTTGGACTATACCACGGCTGTATACACATTGGTTTACCGACATTTCAAGGTCAAGGAAGAGATTCACTCTTGTAGTTGGAACATCAGGGTATGGTGCAATAAATGCTCTATCAAAAATATCGTCAAGATTGACGGAAATACTAACTATTACATTGAAGATGTATTTATCAAGTTTGACAATAAATTCGCATTTTAATTCGAAAAGTGGCATTTTTCAAGGTTTACAAATATTCACGTCTGTCGGTGGCGCTATTCTTTGTAGCATGTAGATTATTCACAGCTTGACGAAACTTGGTCAAATTTGGCAGCTGTATTATTACCAAGAAATTAATAATTTTATAAACTTGGAGAATTGGAGAGAGAATAATTAATATTGATTGGCCATGTAACGCCAGTTTGCTTTCCTGGGAAAATCATTGGATATATCCGGCATCCGGAGTATGCGGATTATTCAACGTTTTTTTTCCTGAAAAAAATCGTTAGAAATACGTTAGGATTTTCCCGACATTTGAGAATAGCATTTAGTATTATTATACATCTGTCACCGTGATGCCGTAAATTACAGCGTGTCGTAATTTTGCGGTATTTTACGGGGTATTTTCATCCTAGCATATTAGGAAACGGGAATTCCAAATAATTCCAATAATAAAAACAAACATAGCTGCCATCAAGTTCGCCGATTCTGTTGTAAACTTTTTGGATTTTGGATTTCAGCATTCCCATAATGCATCATTGGGAGGAAAAGATGTATAATAATCGATCGATATTTTGCGCTGTACTGTCTTTGTGCATTCTTTTCTGTATCCTCGTAATGACCTCATATTATTGCACCTGTAAGTTAATGAGCATTCCCAGTCCCTCATTGGTCAGAGATAAAACTGTGGAGCTTTACTATGTTTGGTTTGATTCCAATTCATTGTCACTAAAACAATGATCCGCACACGCTCCCTCCTAATAATAGCTCATTTTACGCCTCCCTAAGCACCCTCCAAATAACACTGAAACCGACAATCCATACGAACATATAATAATGAAACGACGGCCGACTGAACGAACAATGACTGGCGTAGATGCTCCTCTAAGTGACATTGAGGTTTATAATTCACGTTATTGCCTTCCTCTGCGACAGTATTTCCGGAAGGGAAATAGTGTTGAGTCCTAAACGTTATACCCTGATCAATTCGAGATATAGTCTGTGATGCACAGCAGAACGTTTATGATTACAAAAATGTACATGTATTTGAGCCACATTGGCCAAAATAACAAAAGATCACAACGGCTTAAAATTGTTGTCGAATGACAAAGACTCGAATTATTCATTTATAGTGACACACGATTCCATTACAATACGCTGTCTCATCGTACAACTAATGGTTAAATATCTATCTATCTATCTATCTATCTATCTATCTATCCCCGTTTAATTTTTTTGCAGGTTTGACTTTTTAGTGTTTAATTTATAATCTTCTAGGTTTCATTTCCTGTCTGGAATATACTATTTTTAATATTTTTATTCTGTAGGGGGTTGTTTACTTGTCCAGCAGTAACAATCATACAGCACATTTTTTTAAAGTAAAGTAACAAATCGACACAACATACATTTAAATTACCCAAGAGGTGTACAGGAATTACTATGAATTTCTTTTCCAAATTGTGTTTGATTATTTATAATATTGTTTGATAACTTATTTAGAAACACAAATGTCAACCAAAGTAACCGGATTAAAATATGGTATGTTGTATGGTGTTCTTTTTTTTAATTTTATATATTTTATTTTATTAGTTCTATATTATATTATTATATTTTTTATAGTTATTACATTTTTTTGTATTATTTAACTATTCACACACCACCAAAACTAAAAATAAATGATAAATACAATAAAAAATATATGAAAAATAAAGAATTAAATACATATTTAAAAAAAATGGAAAATAAATAAATGAAGCCTCCAACTAGTCTTATTTTAATCAGTCTGAATTTTTAACGAAATATTATTTTTCATAAGCTCATACTTTTAATAAATTCACAAAACTATAGAATATTTATTCTTTAGTTTCTTGTTCTTTAATTTGAAATGACAGTACATTGATATGTTGAATGTCACTTATATTTAGGTTATAATTTGAAGGCAACTACATTCACAATATCCATATCATTAATATAAATGATAAACAATTGAAAATAATAATGATTACAAATGATAGTACAAATAAAATAAAATTAATATTAAAAAAGCCGTACAATAAATACACATCTTTTCAGTATTATAGCGGTGTATTTATTTCCATTCCACGTTTTAAAGAATTCACCGACTTTTAAATACAAGTATTAACAAATTATTATTAGCTGAATCCTCGACCCACCAATAAGTGTGGGCTCTTACAAGTTTAAAATGAGGCATTTTTCATAAGATTTACAAGAACTCCTTATCTGATTTGGTGAGCAAAATTTGGCCGACCAACGATTTGAAGCATATGTGGATTAGTTGACCTAATTTGTAGTTGTTCTACATGTTCTTACGTTCTTATTTTCTAACTTTTGTTTTTCGTAATTTCATTTCTACATTTAGTAGTATATATAACTGTATAACATATCGGTCCTGGCAGTTTGTGTCTAGGGTAATCTGAATATAAAGTTGGCATACCTTAACCGTGCATCTTTTCATTTATTTAACATTTCTTAAGAATCTCATCAGAGGTCAAAAGACCATGCACCAGTGAATGAATTTCCTTTCGCTTGTTTAAATGACAAAATATGTGTTTGTCCACATATCGCGTTCCCATTTAGGTGTGTCAATAAAGTTTGTTTAATTGACAATCTCGTGACCTTACGTGCACTAGACTAGATTTCCAGTCCATATCCCACATTGGTTGTATAATGAGATGTTTTATGTAATCTGCCATCGGCGGTATTTTTTTTTAAACATAATGTGTGTGCTAATTTTGGCATACATGTGACTCATATGAATCGGGATGTAACATTAAAGTGAACACATTTGTTAATGTTTCTATATCCCGGCTTCAGATAACAAATTTGAACCAGGCCACCGTCCCTCCATCATGATTTGTTTTACTTAGGTAATTCAAAATTATTCATACTGTTCATATCTCTCCTGCAACGGAACATTCGATCAATCAGAAAATTCACAAACCTACACTCTGTGTATTCACATTCGCAGACTACTATAAAGTATATAGTAGTCTGAGGCACAACGTATCGACCATTTTCCTCACCGCGAAACTCCTTTCAATCATTGGGCTGGACCATACGTATTTTCGTGTAACACGTCACTTTGTTGATAATCGATAAAAGGTAATTAATTTTGTGACGTCGAATGGTACACCCGTAAGCCCAATATGACGCTTGCCTGCTTACCGCCTCAAGTGTCATGGCGCACCAAGCCGCAAGAGGCCAGTTTAAGTTAAACCGTAGGGGGATTGGCACGAGAGGGCGCTGTCCGATCTGGCAGGAACGTTTCGCAGTCAGTCGTAGGGGAGATGTGATAGCGTAGTTGTTTGCACAATTTAAAATGTCATTTTTATTTTAATGATCATGATATTTTCTTACTGGTGCAATACAGGTAGACAAGTTTATTACCCCCCCCCCCTAAATCGTGGTTCTACGTGTAATTATCACACATTTCACGTCAAGGCGAGAGATTATACAAACAATATACATTTCCATGATGGGTCAGTTTGCAATGTAGGCTTAATTATGTCAACTGCTTAAATCGACACAACATCATACAGTTCTAAATTCATTGTAGACATAATTTGAATGTTAGCAACAACACCACCAACATAGCAGTCAGAATAGATCCCGGTAGGCGGCCACTTGTATATTTCAGACACTTGGTTTCATTGAAGGAAGACAATATTGCATACAATGCATTGATTGATATGCAAAACCACATCCAGGACGATCATTGGCTATCAAGACTAACACAAATTAAAAGGAATACAGTATTAACCTAGATGTCACAAAGCTAATCTTCAAGTTCAAAAAACCTATACAGTCAAGTCAAAATGCAGGAAATAGCGTTTCAGTGGGTCTAGATTTCCATTTTTAGGGAGGAGCATACCCCCGGACCCTCTAGTAAGATCGCGCCTTCGACGCAAGGTTGGCGAGTAGACTTCGCCTCGATGCAACATTTCGTGCCGCCGCCTCTGAGGGCAGATTTAAAACTCAGAACATATCAACTTTTCAAAAAAAGA